TCTCCTGCCCCCTTTGACCCTCCTGGGGATTACCTTCCCCTGGGCTTGGAGGATCGTCTCCTTAAGGAGCGACCACTCCCCTTGGACACCCGGCTCCCCTCCCCTCTGAGTCTTCAGCGCTTCTCCAACTATCCTCCTTAGCTCGTTGAAGTTCGCCCTCCTAAAATCTAGGGCCACCACCTGACTGCTTGCCTTTGCTACCTTGCGCTGAATGGCGAATTCTAGCAGGCAGTGGTCACTGTCGCCCAGGGGGTCAAGCAGTTAGTGCAGCCCATCTGAAAAAGATATATAGTAGTGCCCATTGAGTGCAGTCCCCCTCAGTGCTGACTTTTTCAAGTCATGGTGAGCCACATTGCTCGCATTTCAACTTCTTCATCACTCTCACAGCTGAACTGTGCCTTTCTTCTCCATTTCAAATCATTCCTGTTTTTAACACAGCCTTAAATGCCTGGCAAACATCACCAAACAGCCTCAAACAGTTCACCCAGAATATGTGCGTGCGCGTGATAATATATGTAAGCAGCATTATCACCATCATCATCATCCTCTTACCCATAAGGTACCTCACATGCTACATTTGGTACCAGGCCGAATAGGAGATGCCAATAGCGCTAAGAGATGAGATGCAAGCTTAACGTCAAAGCTGGAAATGGTGAGCATGCAATAAGCTAGCTCCTCACATGACAGCAACTGCAGTTTATTAAATGAAATTGGCAACAATAAAGCACAGAGACTTACTTGAGACTCTCTTGGGAACTGGAAGAGGAGCGGTCAGACTGAGGCAATGACACGATGCTGTCCGAGTTCTTCAGGTGAGACTGCAGGGCTTTCTGATAGGAGGATTCCAATGTATGAAACAAATGTTCTGCTTCTCTGCTGAAGTGACTGTGGAAGCCCCAGTAACACCTACAAATAAGATCCCAGGACAATACTGAATACTCTTAGGAATATTTGAGAGCCACAGTATCTCATACAGTCTCAATCCACAATGGCTCATTAAATGAACCATTTGGACAATTCATTTTTTGCTGGGACAAGCCTGAAACACAGCACCCAGGGTGACACTGTTTGGGGAAGCACTTCCACACAGAGCGAAATTGAACAGAAACAGGAAGCTGGGATGGGGAAACAAGAAGGTGAGACAGTGTTTGGGGTCATGCTTACAGACCAGGAACAAGACAGGATTCTGCCATAGCTCATACCAAGAAGATTATGAAGAAGAGCACAAGTAGACAAAAGCAGTAAAGACTGGGCAAGGTAGAGATCCTTCAGTAAGCTTCAACCATTAGCATCCACATTTGGAGGGGGAGGGGGCACACGACAGGTACTAAGCACAGCCAAGGTGCTGAGTAGCCCATTCACCCACAGTACATCTGCAACACTGTGACCAGAGTGGGGTGTATAGGGCAGCACTTGGAGCAGCCGGGGCAAGCTCTGGCATAGGTTAGCGCAGCCCATCTGAATAAGAGGAACATTTCAGCACAAGGGAATCCTGTTTATTACTGAGAGTCTCCTGAATAACAATGAGCATCTTTCACCTCTGTTGCAATCAGTAAGAGCTAGGGTCCTGGGCACCTTTCAGAATTAGGCTGAAGGACAGGCTGAAAACAAAGCTATTAAGTGCAAATTAATTTGAAGTCCTTCGTGCATGACAGCTGCTCCACAGCAGAGGAAGTCATTAGCATTTTTGTGTCACTGTGATAAAATGCAAAAACTTCAATCTAAATACTGCCAACATCTTCATTATGAAAAAATAAGAGAGGTGATATACCCTATAAAGCCTCCTGGAGTCGGCCTTGCTATCCATCAAGATGCCCTGGCTGTAGCATCATAAGGGCTAGGAATCTACTTTATTTTTATAATACTCCCTCCCCAAATAATGTAATACATTTTCTTGTGGTGGGCCACCATTGCCCAAAGGGGAGCAATGAATCATTTTACATTCCATCAGTGTGTTTAAAAGGATTAAAATGTGCCTTGGGACACCATTTTCCCTTCTGCAGTAAGTCCATCTACAATCATCTTCTCTGGATTTCAGAGCAAATTCTCAGTTTACTGACCACGTATATGTACACATTAAAAATTCAGCAAAACATTGTCTGGATATGCTAATGACAGAGAGAACTGCTACAAATTCAAGAGGTATTATTTAGCAGCTGAGAAAACAAAATGATACTGCAGTACGGTACTAAATTTGGCCAACAGTAGGTGCATCTGCACGTGCTATTAAGCAAAACAAACTCCGGCACTTATTGCACCAGAGTTTATTGCTCCCAGGCACTGCATCTACATGTACACCCAAGACTGAAGCACATTGAGCCAGGGCAGAGCAGCCCCAGCTGGCAGGGGAATGCCTGGGGAGGGGGGCAGGGTCAGCCTACCAGCCTGGGGATGCTGTGACCTGGCTCAGTAGTGCTGCGGAGGGGCTGGCTTGGGCACAAGGGTGTTTCAGTGCAGGGCTAGCCAGCAGGCAGCCCTTGCACTGAAGCACTCATGCCCTAGCCAGCTGCTTCAGCATCTACATGTGTGTATCTTGCTAATTTTTCCAGGAGTAAAAACCTCCACAGCAGGACAGTACTTGTATTTGCAAGTACCACCCTGCTGCACAGTTAATTTGTTTACTCCAACCTAAGAGGGCTGCACATGTAGATATGACACATTTACTGCAGAGCTATTTCATTTACTCCGTAGTAAACGTCTTGTGTAGACATGCCCAGTTTTCACACTAAGTAACAACATCTTGCAATGTAGTGATAAAGGTACTTTAGTTTCAAAATCCACAAAGACCTGTAGCCTCCAGTCTTCACACCAACACAAAATTCCACTAAAAGGTGATGAAATGTGAGACAGAGAGAGAAGAATCAGGCTAGAAATCTTAAGAGATGCCTCTTGGTTGGCTGGTGTATAGAGAGCACAACATACTTTTTCAGATATTATATTGACAGCTGATAATAAAAATTAGCAAGATACTCCTGCACTCTTAAGAACCTACGTTAACATGCAGAATAATCCATGCAGAAAACAAAAAGTTGCAAGACCACCTGATTTTAAGCAACAGTGTAAAATGGAGACTGCTAGAGCCTAAAGGAGTTATGGCACCAGTTTTATTATTGTGATAGTTTATAACCCCTAAAGCCATCAGAGCCAGGACAGGCCCTGCGTGTGTGTCCTGGCAGCAATTCACCATCTCACAACACCCTGCATTTCTTGAACAACTCAGAGGAAAAAAAATTCCACTCACTTCCTTGCCTCTATCCTTGCTTCGGAGTCAGCGTCATGGATTCCCTTCTTTATCGTTTCAGCTAACACAGATATGTGTCTGAAAGCAGAGGCAAACATCAGTCAGCTGGTCACAGATGAGCCTGCAGGAGCTTGCCGATTGTGGCTCTCAGAACACAGCCAGCATTTCACCGCACCCCCATGCCCACATCCTCCCCTTCAGCAGGCTGATGTATTTACTCATACGTGCCAGCTGTGTTTCACCCTGTGCTGCTGGATTTGAAGATGCAAGCAGCATTCTTCTGTGGTCATTCCTAAATTACCCTGGAAGTGGCAGGGGTGCAAAAATCATCCCAACCTTTACAATTAGCTTTGCGCATTTTGGAGCTAATGAAGTTGGAGTCACTACAACCTGTGTCGTTCTCCACAGATGATTAGTCTGACTAGTCACAACACATTGTACAAAGGCTCCTCTCTTACCCCCTATAGCTGGGGATGAGCCTTAACTAGCCACACTGCTTTTAGGACGTGGTAGGAAAACTCTTGAATTTTAGGGAGTAACTATGCTTTGTTTCTAGGGGCAAAGCAGTGCTTCTCTGCCCCGGAGGACTTGTACATCACAGTGCCAGACTTTCAGAGCTCCCTAATCCCAGTGAGGCTGTCTGGCATCTTTAAAGAGGCAACAGCATGTTCCAGTCTCTGCATCTGTCCAGCTTCCCCAGCCAATGGGAAAGGGGAATGGGCCCATGAGCCTGCCTTCTCTCCCATTTCTCATGGGCATTGCCCAGTGATTGCCAGGGAGCGTATTCTCTACACTTGGGTGAAGGCAGGGGCAGAAAATACATCCACTCCTGCAAATTTCAGTGATTAAGCTAGAAACCTACAGGGGCAGGGAAGGGAAGGAAAATGTACTCTAGTGCTTCCCCTCTTGAGACAGCTGTGTGTGGAGGCTGGAACAATCTGGTGCTTTCCTGCATAGGTCAGAAGAGGGAAAACCAGCCACTTTGGAACAGTATTATCCTACAGTCGATTCAACTAGCAATAAATAACCACCTTTGTGTTGCAGCTACTTCCCTGAAGAAAAGAACTGATATGTCTAAGATGTCCATTCTTTCTACCCCAATATCTCTCCTCTTTAATAAAGACAAATGGCAAATACCACAGGGCCTGTCCGCAATAAGCCTGGAGAGGGTCACCTCTTCAGAATTGGGCAACCATCTTCTCCATGAACAAGCCGTCTCTCTACTTTAGTAGCATCACTTTCAGGATGTGGGGTCAGTAGCTCTGGAGCCCACACCGGTGGTGCCACCAAAAGTTCAGATGTCAAGGAGACCTCAGTGTGATTTTATGACTCCCTTCATGTTTCTCATTTCTGTGCTGGAATGGAACTAAGAACTCTGATTGTGAAAAACCAGAAAGGAAGACTGTTGTGCCATGAGGCACCTGACCACAGCATGAGCCAAGCTCCAATGGCTGGGCACATACCCAGGATGGTAAGGCTAAACTTTGAGTCTGAATTAGACAGAGCAGAGGCTTAAATGTGAACCTCCCCCTCCCACATTCTGCATATATACCCTAAACCATGGGCTGTTGGCTAAAGAAGTCTGGCGCGAGTGGAACCGCTCGTAATATTTTTGTGAAAAGCAGTAACCATTCTTGTCAATGCTTTTGGTTTCAATAAATTAACATTTTCTGATGAATTTTATTTAAAAAATCCTGTTGTGCTCCAGGTAGGGTGTTCTACACCCTCGCTTTGCTGTGGGAAAGATCATTTATCTGGAAGGGAAGCGTACTCGGATCGTACCTTTCTAGGGAGTGCGTTTGCCATTCTTGTAACAGCAAGTCTAAAAATTCAAAGCAACGCCTGAAAGAGAGAGGAGAAATAGTCAGCGTTATCTCAGATTATAAAAAAGAGGCACACTGACTTGACTCCACCTGCTACCACACACCAGTCATCCATCATTATGGGCCCATTATGGGACACCAGAGTTCAGCAAAGAGCCCTTAGGAGAAATACTGCCCTTTCTATAAATAACTTTTACATCCACCATAATAAAGGTCTGAAACTCCGCAGTGTCACCGCTGCATAAAGGTGGTGTATTGCATTATACCAGTAGAATATAGTTCTTGATGCTTTTTGTGTTTTCGGTCTCTCAAAGATGGGATTAAGACAAAGTCCATCAAAGCTCGTATGAGTTTGCATTTGTTAGTTCTGTACAAATATGAAGCTTTGTAATAAGCCTGTGAAGAAAGCATTATTCTCATCTCCTTTCTTCATACTTAGAAACTGAGGCACAAAGTGACTTGCTTAAAGTCTGTGAAAGGGCTGTAATCGGGTGGCCACACAGATACCCATTAGCATTACACAGAACCAATCTAAAGGACTGATCTAACAAAGGTCTTCCAAAAAGCTGGCGGCAGGGCAATAGTCAGATATTAAGGCCAGAAAAGACCACATAGTCTAACTTCCAGCATGAAACAGGTCAGTGCATACAGGGAATGTGACAGCTGTACTGTGCTCTGAAGGGGACATGCCACCACCACAGAGGTTCACGGCAGAGAACAGAAATGCGGCTCATGCCTGGGAAGACGGCCAAACTAATCTGATCATAATATAAGCAATATCTAAACACGCATAAAGATTAACAAAGCTAACTTTTATTTAAAGACCATTTTTCCTTGTGAGAAACAGAAAAAGAAATTCCTGTCCCTATGGTGCCAAAAATTTTACAACCACCCTTTTGTCCCCAAGTCTCCAAAGCCACCTATGGGATTTAGGCACATTCACGCACGTTACAGAACATGTGCATATCTCCTGGATTTGGGGGGTATGGTAGGTAGTGTCACCCTTCCTCCTCCTCCTATCACTTTTTGATAAGTGAACCAAGTCATGGACAAACAAGGGAGAAAGGTCAAACTGAATGCTCACCTTCTAACTGCTACGGACTTAGAGGTACAGTTGCTGGTGATGATGGGTATTAGCCGAGGGATGTGTGTGTGCTAAAACAAGAAAAATCAGAGAAAGCATTTGAAACTCGGTACCTGTGGGAAGAAAGCCCGTTTCTTGTAGTCACGTGCAAACATTTAACTTGGCTCATTTTTTTCTTCCAAAATACAACCCCACAAATAAGGGCTATTGCTAATAAAGCCCTGGAAATGCCGTCTTTGCTTTTGCTTCTTGTAACAGGCTCCACTGGGTCCGACAGCCGCTGGGGTCGCTGTGCTGTGAGAGACCCCGATTCATCAACGGACACAAATCTCCAGCAGCTGGGCTTGCCAGGCCCTCCAAGCGTGCCAGCTGCGTCACTGTAGAATTCCCCCCCTGGTTGATTAACGGCTTCAGACAAAAACCATGCACCACTTAAAGAGATGGCATGCACGGGGGGGAGGGGAGGCCAGCCTGAGAGGGTTAAAACTAATTTCAGGGAACCATTACTTAAACTTTCCAAAGACAGAAATGCTTTACTTCTGCAGAGAGCAGGCTTTCATAATATTGCTCACTGCCACAGCGCACACCCTCCTTGCTCAAAGATCTCAAGCTTCACAAGCTGCCTCTAGCCTGGGTCGGTGCAAGTGTCCCCAGGTGGGATGCTAACAGGATACTAATACCACAGGACAGAACGGTGAGGGGCCTGGTCATGCCTCACTGAAGTTACTGGGAGTGCTGGCACTGGATTTCAATGGGTGCAAGGCTGGAATGCAAGACAGCTGCCAAGTATCATGCATTCAGGCTGTGGTAAAGTCTGAGTGCTGTGTTGTAATGACAGCCCACTTTATGCCAGAGAAATGAGCATTGTAAAAAGAATTAGAGTATTGGCTTTTTAAATCAAGGACAGACAGAAGGCGATTGAACGGCAGAAACCCAAGACTTATCTATGACTAATAGGCTTAGGTCTTGCAGTGTGTCTGGAATCTAGAGCAATTCAGAAGCTTGTGACTTGGAGCCTTCACTTACAAATTTGCAGCATTTATTTCCTATAAGAGTCACTAGATCGGGGTCTTGTCTTACTTAAAGGAACTGTAAGTATTACCTCTTTTTCTGGATTTAGCAGCTAAGACATATAGGAAAGCATTGTGCTGCAACCTGAACCAGTGCAACAAGGTCTTTATGACCAAAAACTGTTATAAGCAAGGTTCAAAGTGAGGTAGCTAGCTAGTGGCCACCAAAACACCAAATACTGCCTACAATTAGTGGCATGCCTATCGCTTGACTGCCAGTCGAGTGCTCTCTTCCGAGATGGTCCGACAGCTTCCCCTGGACACGCCAGGAGGCAGCTGTTGGACTCCAACTCCAAGAACCACAAAAAACGGAGCTACCTCCCATGACAGTGGGAAACTTCTCACTCCTCCTATATCGCCCACTCTCCCCTCTTAAACCACGTCTTTCAATAGCTTTCTAAAAATCTGACAGTGTGACTGGCAAAAGGAAAGTCACGTCTCATGGCGGATACAGCATCCAGAACTGAGGAAGAAGGCCAAGTTGTGCTCTGTTTAGGTCCTCGATCTATTCCCTCTGGAAATCTTCACATTCTCTCCAACATTCAGATCTGCTCAGAGAAAGGCCCCAAGTATCAGCCAGTGATCAAGTGTTGCTTTCTTTTAATATATACTTACTCTGATGATTAATCTAACAGCTACAACACCAGAAGTGGCCATTACTTTGGCACTGTTGGGAATTAGATTAAAGATGGTTGGCATAATGGCTTCTGCCCCGTGGTCAAACTTGTTTCCCAAAATTGATGACAAATGTCTGAAAAACAACGAAGTAATGCTGGTAAGCACTTTTTGGACTAAGCTACAATACCTAACATTGGCTATTTCAAGTCTTTGCAGTCCCCTTTGATTGCAGCAAGGGATAAAAAAAATAATAAAATAAAAAAAAATGTGTCAAAATCTCTTTCCTGCTTCCATCTCAATCCAATAAAGTACTTTGTCTTCATCTAAATTTTAACAAGCAATACATTCAGTAGCTGGAAGTCTGCCACATTACTGGCATTGGCAAACATGCACTATGGGATTCTGATGAACGATTTGGTTTTTTTTAGCACTTGTCAGGTTCAGATTTGGGTTTCACTGAAACATGCTGCCTTGTCTTGACATTTGCAAATTCCATAACCTACAATTAAAAGTGCCCTAGTGCCCTGTCTGCAAAAACCACTGCATGGCTGCACACAACATGTGATTACCAGTGATGGGAAAGCCAACCCCTGGAAAATAAAAACTAACCTGAACTTTCACCTCAAACTCAGGCTGAACCCAAAGGGAATACACTTTATATTTCTCAGTTTTACATGCCTCCTTGCCCAATGGATACAGCTATTGCAGCAAAAGGGCAAGTGTGAAATATCATATGAAGTGTTATTCTATTGACCTTTCCGGGTTCAGCATAAACCAAGATGGGCAGGAAATTTCTCTGTGCTTGCAAGATTTTTGCTCTTGTTTTGCAGAGTCAGAAAGATCAAAATATTCATGTATTTCCTGAAATCAAAGCTTCGGCAGTTTGCCCAGCCCTAATGAAGACACTGATTTACACGAGATGTCTGGTTTTTCAATGGGAACAACATTCAATTAACTTCCATGAGTCCGATTCCTCAGCCCCTCACCATGATCAAGGTCTGCTCTCTCTGTAACCTCGCTGGTGCAGATGGCACGTAAGGCAGAACAGAATTGTACTGTAGCCACCATGCCTGTAGCTGCTAAATCAGTCTCCTTCACTTCAGAATATAACAGTGTGTGTGAAAAAACAGCCTGGATGAAATCAAACTGAGCTTTGTCCCTGCCTTCATTGAAGTCAGGACCTCGCCATTAGATTATAAAGGATGTGCTTTCAAGCTGGTTTTTACAAGTGAGTACAGACTATGACTCTGGCTCTGGCTCTAATCCAGAAAAGCATCACGATGCAGTATCACTAGTCAGTAAAGTACTTATGCCTATGTCTAAGTAGGCTTATACCAATGCTTATTGGCTTTCCCAATTCAGAAAATGATCTCTGGTAGAGAGAAAGGCACCATTCAGATGTTTTTGAAGTAGTGATTATCACAGGGTCTAGGTACTGGGACAGTTCTGGCTAGGGACTGATATCAGATATATTTATTGCATTTCTTGTGTTTTAAATCTGACTCTGTCCTACCCCACCTATTCAAAACTGACACTGGAAATCCATTAAAAGGATGCGATTCAAATACCAGGGAACTTTTTTATTTATTTATTTATTTATTTTTAACATGGGGCTCACTGAATAGCATGTAGCCTGGAGCCTTCCAGCTTCTCAAGCCTGCCTGGTGCTGAGCCCTTGGTTCTGAAGAAAGTCAATGGGACGGTGGGTGCTCATCTCCTCCAAGGTCAGACCAGAGCTCAATTTGTCTCTGCCTGGTCACAGAAATCCATAACTCATCCCAAAGGGGTGGTTTTGGTTTTGAACCAATACACTGAAAGTATGCCTGGATCTCAAGCACATTGGGTCATTATTCAAATGTTTCATTATTAAAAAGAAAAATACGTGATACCCATGTAGGACAAACGATAGATTGATCTGAATTTCAAAAATTAGATTCAGTGTCTGTCCACTTAATATGTCCAACACCCCACCGTTAAAAACCCATCGACACAGGATATACAACCATGGAGAACCACCTGCATAAGCCTGGTTTCCATGAAGTTTGGCCAAAAGAGCTTTCAAATGTGCATAGATCAGTATCAGTGTAAATCCATATCCTTGGGTATTAGTGCAATTGTTTCATCTGTCTATACCCTTTGGCTGTCCAAAGGGTAGAGACTCACAACAGGGCCAAATACCATAATAAACAGGGTCTGCCTTTCATCTAAATAATGCTATAACAAAGTTTAGAACGTGGAGCTTCATAGTCCTTACCCCAACGTGATACAAGCCTCTCGCACTACCTGAGAGCGCAGATCTTTAGCGGACAATTTAAATGCTCCATCCAGCAGGCGCAGGTGTTGGAAGAAGTTGTCATATTCAGCAGCTCCAGCTAATAGTAAGGATCGGATCTTTTTCAACTGTGGGCAACATGACATTTAAAGATTTAACACACTGACACAACAAGGTGCACCAACACCTGTTAATGAGAAAAAGCCACATTCACAGCTGTATTCACTTGCAGCTTCCCCATAAAAATATCCGACAAAGGGCACCTGCTGCCCAAAAGCTTGTCCAACAGCTCTCCCAATATGCAGTCGGTCCAGTAAAATATATCACAAAAAAACCTTGCCCATCCAAATATAAATGCACTGAGGAATACAATTTTTTAACACAAGCCACCCAATTTCGTGTCAGTTCATACTTTAGGGACCAATATACTGAATAACGGTAAAAATGGCAACTTCCTACAGGACTGCGACAGGAAACCCAAAAGCATCATTTACAATTTGACTAGTGATAAAAAGTGCTGATGAATAATACTTTAATTTTTATTATAATCACATCATGGAAGTTATTGGGATGTTTAAGCCAGAGCAGTTGTTCCTTTGTTCTCTTTTATACCCTTCTACTAACAACACGCAAAGGGAGGAATATCTCAAGGCATTAGAGTGCAAGGTATGCATTCAGATGCTGCAATCCTTCCACAGCTAAAAGGATGGTTTGAATTTAAGAGCCCTGGCTCAGACCCTGAACTGACCTACACTAATGCAAATAGGGAATATCTCCACTGACTTGGTTAAAGTCAAGTCTTGTCTACACCTGGAGTAACAATGTCCCCATTGAAATCTACAGAACAGAGAAGACCTTATTCTGTTTTACATTAGTGACATATTGTGCTCATCTACATAGAAAGATTCAAACATGCCATCCACATAACAAGCCCTATTTCCCATCACTTCGCTTCTCTCACAGGCTTATCAGCCTGTGCAAACGTGGGTGCAAAATGTTACTAACTAGCTGACATCCTGCATACAGAAGTGCAAAGCAGTGTCCAGCACTGGAGAACAGCTCCTTTGGCCTGCAGCCGTCCACCCAGCTGAAAGGCAGTAAGGAAATTCATTGCAATTTTTAAATTCACTTTTGAAAATGTGATTCTGAAGCCTGAAAGCGACTTTCTAGTTGCATCTGTTTTGGAAAATTCGGAGCAGGCGTCTCATTCTGTATGGTTTGCTCATGATAAGCAGCTTCTTCTAAACCCAAGACTTCATGGCTCCCCTAATGAAGGAGGTTACCCATAGCGCAGGGGTGGGTAATTATTTCAGGCAGAGGGACACTTCCTGCGTTCTGGCAAGCCATCGAGAGCCGCATGACAGGCAGCCAGGGGCAGATAAATATTAATTTTCTAAATTTTTAGGGGCCCCACAGGCCAGATAAAATGGCCTGGTGGGCTACACTCGACCTGCAGGCTGCATTTTGCCCACTGCTGCCATAGAATAATATCCACCCAAACAGAGGGACAGCAGCAAGTCACTTAAAGGACACATCTGCCTTATTCGATGTAGTACACAGACTTTCTACAGGGCCTCTGCTGGGGGTTGAATTTTACCTACAAAACCCACAGGTTAAAACATTTCAAATCTAGGTCCCATGCTTACAGCAGCCACTCTCTGTTCCCAGTCATGCTTATCATCAGATAATATCTCTCTAATTTTGTTTATGGATTCTTCAAGGTCTCGGCTGGAATAAATCTGCAAATTGAAAAAAAAAAAAAATATTATCAAGATACAGGAAATGCTTTCAAAAGCAAATGAAGGGATTTCTCATCTAAATGCCAATTCCTTCATCCCCGAGTGCTGAGATGCACTTTGCAAGGCCAACACCCAGCATATCTGGCTCTGAAGACCCCAGAGACTTGCACACATTGCACAATTACTGTCAGAAGTGGTTTCGGGTTAGCTGATCCTGCCTTGGGGCAGAGGGCTGGACTAAGGCATTTTGAGGTCCCTTCCTCTTGTCTATGATTCAATAAAAATGAAGACAATCCAAGTAATTGCACAGAATGCATAAAGTGTTGGGGTTTTCTTTGCTTGATTTGACTATGATGCAGCTTGACAGTTTAAAGGAGGTCAACATTTATTTCTGGAGCAAACTTTGTGCGGAGTGCGCTCCTCTAGAGTGCCACGAACAAACACCAACACAGACAGCAAAGCAAATAAACAGCATCTGATGCAGAAGTTGTGCCCAGGAAGTGCGAGAACCCCCTGCTGCCTAAGCCAAATCATTCGTTGCATGAGCAACCGGGCCAAGGAAGACCTGTTTATTGCTTGAAGGGCAGGTTTTGCTCCAAATAGTCTATTAGCCAAGGAGGCCACGTCCCCGCAAGCAGGAATGTGTCTTCCCCCAGGGACACGTAGCAGCGGCACACCTTGTGCCACTGCTATGCGTACCTAGGGAAGGCCCATGCCATGCATGCTTTAGCACGAGGCAGTTACCCCAGGTGGGGAAGGGGAGGCTGGGAACAGCACAGTTGCTGGCCCCAGCAGCCTTACCTGGAGTCCTGGGGGCCTTGGGGAGCTGCAGCCATGGCGCTCCTGCAGCAGGGAGCCTGGCCCACAGCCGGAGTGCGGCTCCAGCCGGCCAGGCTCCGGTTTTGGGTGGCGCGTGCTGCCGCCACGTGCATTGCCCTGCTTATTTTTGCCATGAGTTTTTTTGACCCTGGGATCTCCCAGGGGTCAAGAAAACCCCCTGCCCTGCAAAGTGCGGTGCGTGCAGAGTCCAGAGAAAGATAACAACAAAAATGATCAGAGGTTGAACATGCATAATCTATGAGGAAAAAATTGGAAGAACCGGATTAGTTTAGTTCAGAGGAGATACAAGTGAAGAGAGACATTTTAAGTCTTCCTATATGTAAAAGGTCACTGCAAAGAGGAAGGTTATAATCTCATCTCTATGGCCACTAATTAGCTTAAATTGCAGAAAGGCAGATTTAGGTTAGACATTAGGGAAACCATCACCTGGAAGAGTAGTTGATACTGGAAAAGGCTGCCTAGGGAAGCTGTGAGATCTCCAGCACCATCAGGCCTACTTAAGAACAGGATAGACAACCATCTGCCAGAATGATTTAGGTAAAGTAGATCCTGCCCTGGGACAGGGGGAGGGTTTAAGCAACTTCTTGAGGTCCCTTCCAGTCTACTCTGATTCTTACCCTCATTCCAGCCAACATCACAGTTCTCACCTCTTCACTTTCCAGTATGTTTGCTCTGTTGGACTCTGCCCCTCAGGCTCCCCACAAAATCGCTCCCTTCTGGGCACCTCTACATGTGCATTAATGCACTTTTCCTAGTGTGCATTAAATATAGTACCTTCAATGTGAGGTACTAAACAAATGTTTAGTACCTAACGCACAGTACCAAAAGTGCATGTTTTTTAAGTGAGGCTAATGTGCAGTAGCCTGTTTTACTGCACATTAGCATAATTGAACATTTTTTGTGTGATGCTTTAATGTGCAGTAAAATAGGCTACTGCGCATTAAGGTGCACATGTAGATGCACCCTCTGGCTACAAGTCTTCTCTGCAGTTTCTCCCATTTGGAGCTTGCCTTCCTGTGTCTCAGAAAGCACACCAATTCTCCACTTCCTTGGAATTTGCAAATATCTTTTCTCCTTGGCCTACCTCCTAAGAAGGGCTCATCTCCAGAGACAAGAAAATTTTACTACCCGTTTCAAAAGGCTGGACATTTCACAATTCATTTCTACTCACCTGCACCATTGGGACGTCATCAAATGCTTTAATAAAATCCTCCTCATCGACCGCACCAGCTCCCTCTTTGGCTGCTGACAGACAGATAAATTAAAAAGCCTTTTTTACCCTTCCCATCAACAACAGTTGCACCATAAAAGAAAACCTTCAGTTATGGGAGCACTTGAACAGGGAAGAATTCAGGTCTACTCCAAACCTATGTAAAAGGGTTTAAATGAGATGGAAAAAACAAACGCAAGGAAATTCAAAGCCAGATGCTGACTATACAGGGCATCCTTCAATTCCCAACCACAAAAGGGCACGTGAAGGAAGTCATTAAGGCAGCTGTTCAGTTGAGGGATGCAGCCTGACAAGATGAGACAGAATATTTACTTAAGCTGTAAAGGAGTTTTTCTTTTAACGGACTTAGACCTATCCATAATTGATGAACGTATGGGCCTTCTGACACCGGCAGAAGACAGGCAGATGGGGAGAAGCGGGAAAGTGTTTGGAACATGAATCAGGAGGAGGAAGGAGCTTGCTCAAGATGGGACTCGGAAAAATTTCCAATTCAGTTTACTTACAAATTTCATCAAAGTTGGTTATTATTTCTCTTTACCTTTGTTTATTAGTGTGAAAACGTGGAGGTCAATAGTCAGAGGTGTTAGAAAACCACTGTACTGTTTTAACCTGCACAAACCTCTGGCTTTATTAAATAAAATGCCTTGCATAACTTCAGCTATAGAAGTGCAGATGCGAGGAAGGTGTGGATCTCAGCAGCCTGCCCATGCACCAATACGAAACACCGGCCTTCACAGACAAAAAAAGGATACGACTGTGGTCATAATTTGCAGATCCACTCTACCAGAATATGCCTTTTGTAGCCAGTGGGAGCACAAATCTCACGTTCTCAGAGGGAACAATTTGCTGCTATTCAAAAGGCCGATAAAGGATTATGCAGCAATTAAGTCCTTGAAAGAAAGTTGAAGGGAGACTTCACTGCCCCTAGGCTCTGCTGAAGGGCCTTTGAATTTCATGTTACTGCCTTACCTGTGGACTTTGGGCCCAGAGCTGCAGACCCAAGCCTGCGGGCAGTCCCCATCCCAACCCTGCGGGAGTTTGAAGGGGCCTTTGAAGATGTAGAGGAGCTGGCCGAGGAAGGTCGGTTCCCATCCACAGAGTCTTCATCATCAAAATTTTTATCTGCGGAAAAAGCATATTCAGCCATTACTCTGGAGAGAGTAAACATCTCCCAGCCAGCATACCCATTTTGGGTACCCCTCCACGGTTTCTACAAGAACACTGGAGACAATCGAGTTCTGCCTGTTCTCATCGCAGCAAGACTTTACTGAGGTTACTGGAAGGTTAAGCACAGCAGCTATAATCAAAGCCTATTACCCATCCCTGCCTGTCCTGCAAGTTCAAAGTGCTAGGAGGCTCAGGGAACTTGAAGTGGACAACACAGATATTGCCCCGCATTTGAAGGCTCAGGTCCAGGTTAGTAACTGAAAACATAGTAGTGGTCTCAAGTCCGGACCTCCATTTTAAGTCTCCATGACTATACCAGATGGGAGTAAGTAGGTATTAAAGGTAACTGAGAATTGAGGCAGTAGTTTGTAAACTAAGAGATGAAAAGGTCCTGGGAGAGTGAATTACATTTTCCTGCTCAGAGGTGGTGTTTGTGCAGCCAAAGTGAGGTGCAGCAGGGCACATAGGGAAGGACCACACCAGGGTGCCCAGACTATTCTCTGGATCATCAGAAGACACTCACCTGCTGCGCTATGAGTTGTGAATGCAATAGCCTTAAATCCTCTAACATTTTTTTTCTCTTTGCATGAAGATTAAGGCTGTCTGCTTAGAAAAATGAACCCAAATTTAACAAAAGGTGGGAATTTAAACTTCAGTAGTTAAAACACACAAGCACCCCAGTGCAGATATGCATTCAGAATTAAAGTAGCCGTAATTAAATTCAGTATAGTTCACTGAAAATCATTTAAAACTAATCTTAATGAAGGTCACTAATTCTGAACGTGCATCTATGCAGGGCTTTAATTCAGTTTAATCCACTTGAAAAAAATAATTCAGGTCTGTATGCCTGCGAGTCCCCATGTAGACAGACTCAGAAGCCGAGAGGTGGAAATGAGTGGTCACAGACTGAAAACAGAAGACCAGGTTGATTATCTGTGCGACTCCTATTAAAACAAGGACAATCATTGACATATGCAACCTGAATTAGCCTCGACTGGTGGGGCGGGGGAAAGAGGCAAAGTTCATTTGGATCCTTCACAAGTACTTAAAGTGGGACAATGAGCTTGTAGGATCCTAAGATAAAAAGTCTTTGTCCTGGGATAAATCAGTTGTCTGTTTTTAACTTGTGTGCATAGCAGGCAGTTCATATAAAGAAAACCAGCTCAACTCCTAAGCTGTTTCTTCCCCAAATCTAAATGATGTGGTCTTGGGTCCCACATTACTCCAACCTTTTCCCAGATGGAGGCAGAGTGTGAACCCGGAGCAGCGCTACCTTTGTTCAGCGAGAAAAATCACTGCTGAGCGATCCAAGGCACTTCTCTCCCACCCGGGGTGGGCATGTACCGCGCTGCCTACAGTTGTGCTGGAGCCACTGCGATCATAAAGCAGCTCCGGGCATGCTTTACTTGCTATATTCCCAACTCGGCAAACCGCTGAAGTCCACCTTATTCAGCCCACCACTCAAGCACACACATTTCACAGTAAGGGCAGGTGGAACGAGAAATAACCTCAAGTACTTTAATGACTAGGGGAGGACTGAGTAGGTTCACCTCCTCGCATTGTGCAGGCTGGGAGCACAAGACCCTTGAAAGAAAGTGGAAAATGATGATAATTAACACACAGCAGAAATGAGGTCAGCAATTAAGGAGATGAGTTATTAAGGCAAATCTGTGGTCAATACTGCCACTGACAAGAAGAAGGATTTTTTTTTCCCCAAATACCTTTGGGGATGAAAGGAATCCTAAAAAATGGCATTGGTCCAAAAAAGATGGACAAGGAGGAGCCATCAGCACTAATGCCAAGAAAGGCAGAAGTGGTCATTAAATGTTTCTGTTCTGTATTTGGGAAAAACAGATTATAATACAGGCACATCATAGTACACCAGTGACATACCACCCACTTCAACCAGAACTAAGGATGATGGTAAGCAGCAGCTGCTAACACTGTTTTTGAACAGCCAGCAGCTCCAGATAACCTGCATCCAAGAGTTTAGAAGAGTTGGCCAAGGAGCTGTCTGGCTTATTAGTGTTAATATTTAATAAGTCCTGGAAAATGGAAGAAGATCCAGAGGACTGGAAGGCAGTTAATGATTAAAATATAATGTTTAAAAAGGATAAATAAGACGATCCATTTAATTACAACCATGACACTCGAGCAAAATAAACGGCATACGAGATTTGATTAATAAAGAATTAAAGGAACATAACATAATGAATGCCAATCAGCAGGGGTTTCTGGAAGAGAAGCTTTGTCAAACAACATTTCTTCATGAGATCACAAGCTCGGTCGATAAGGGAATACTGAATACTCTCTGCAAGGCATCTGACCTGGTACCCCAAGGCAATCTGTTTAATGAACAAGAATAATACAAAATCAAGAGGACATTAAAAGAATTAACAACTGGCTAACTGAGTAGTGTGACCTGGTAACTGTGAACAGGGAAGCATAGTGCAGGAAGTGTGTTTCTAGTGGCCCCCACGCTATTGAACATTTTTATCGACGAGTTGAAAGGAAACATAAAACCACTGTTGACAGAGTCTGAAGACGACCCAAAGATTAAGGGGACTTGTACGTAATACAAGGACTGGTCGGACATAATGCAAGAGCGATACGGATTGCTCGATACACTGGGCAAGTAGGTAACATGCACTTCAATACACCCAAGGGCGACGCTGAGAAGATGCGAAACTCTACCCAGGGAAGCAACAAGTCTGAAAACTATTTGGACTCATGACACATCGGAGGTGGGCAAAGTAAGACCCGTGGGCCAGATCCAACGCGCCAACTGATTGGATCTGGTCCGCGTGATGCCAAGAGGCCAGGGCGGCCTCCAATGTGCTGGGCGCTCCCTCTCTCTGGGCCGGGGCTGCCACCCGCGCAGACATGGAAGCACGAACCTGCCCGCAGCTGTAGCAGCCTTGCCCCCCCCCAGGCCGAGCCCTGACCCAGCACTGCTGGCTGTGTCCGCAGCTGCCCAAACATGGCTGGCACCCTTGGGTCAGGGCTGCTGGTGCAGGGGGAGAATGGCCCTCAATGGGTCACCAAAACTCATTAAATGGCCCATCAACACAAATAATTGCCCACCCCATGATACACAATCATCTGAACATAAGGACCCAGTACAAAATTGTAGCTAAAAGGCGCAACAGTCCTGGGAATATATAAAGATGGGACTGTTATAGGAGCCAGGGGGTTGTAGGACATGTGTATTAGGCACTGGGATGGCTGCTACTGGAGCACTTGTCCAGACCTCCAAAAAGATGTCATGAAACTGAAGGGGGTTCAGGACAGGATTATTAAAAGACTGGAAAACACATGTATAGAGTGAGCATCTCCAAAACCACCTCCAGCTGATCACTTTAACCAAGAGACATTTAAGAGATGACTTGATCACAGTCCTGAAGTACCTATGTGGGAGACAGAAGTTTGGTAACAGATGGATCTTCAGTCGGGCAGACAAAAGATATAACAATATCTAACAAGACCCAGAGACTGGAAAATAACAATAAAAAAAAGACGGCCCAATTGAGAGTTGAAATGAGGTGCAACTTGCAGCAAGAAGAGCAATTAACCCTTACATTTTGTGGTGGATTTTCCATTTCTGGAAAACTAAGAGAGAAATTTCTCCTAAGAAAAAAACACCCTTGTGCAAACAGGAATGAATTCAGGGAAGCTCTGTGGGCCTGGTCGCACAGGCGGTCAAAGCAGAGGATCACAATGGTCTCTTCTAAGCTTTATAATCCACGAATCTAGGAAATCCTTAACAAGAGGCTTAAATGCTGAGGATGGGCTTATGAAGACCTTTGCAACTGGGATGAATTTCACAAGGATTACATATTCTTCTTAAACATGTTCATTAATATATTAAATAAAGGATTCATTCTTCTATATGAGAAATAGATACACATATGTATATACTCCACATATAGAAGAATGAATCCATGTGTGTGTGTGCACGCGTGCGCGTAGATAGATACATCTATCTATCCATAGATATATCTATCTATCTATATCTATAGATAGATAGATAGATAACCATCCAAGATAACATTATCATAATTTTTCAAGATAACAGATATTCTGTATTATTTCAAAAGTATCACTCATCCAACGGCATAAATATAACTTCACTTACATTAAGCCATCTATCTAGACTGTGTCGTTTAACTTAAAAATAACCATCTTGTGTTTGCGCTTTTAAAACCCCACCCCGCTTTCAACACACACAAAGGGTGTGGTTTTCTACTCCACATAATAATGTAATGTAAGACTTCAGAAACCAAACATCAAGGAAACTTCATTTTGTAGCCTGTAATTAATTCCACTCATTTTGCTAACATCCCAATGTAAAATGGGCTTTCCTGAGTATTAGCTTAAAAGAAAAAGAAAGGGGGGGAAAAAAGAGCAAACCCTCCAATTGCTTTACAGGCAAGTTACACCCAAATTCATCTTCTTGCACGCTGGAAAAGTCAGCAAGCTAAACAAATGATTTTCTACTATTTAGCAGAAATAACCTCCAGCCTCCAAACAGCCTTTCCTTAATTGCAAATTGAGGGTAGCAGTCAGGCACATTTACAACTGCACATCAGGGCTTTCACCAGCACGTGTGTTGACCAGAAAGAGAAACAAAGAACAGACAAGATGCGAAACGTGGAGTTCAGAAAATCCGAGGTGACCGACCATCCGCGCGCAAACGTAAGAAAAAAGGAGAGCCTTTCTGATCCTGCAGCTTCAGCCAAAATTATCATTTATAATCAGGGTCGTATTTTGTACTCTCGCTGTAAATCCTATGGGGACAAATTCAAATTCAAGCAGGGTGCGACTCTCCCGGCACACCGGGGATGAATTTGCACCGCCGTGTTAAACGGTGCACAATCGTCGCTGTTCTCCTGTCCTCTGACCCCCCCAGTGCTCGTTATGAGTGATGCCTCCTACGAGCCATCAGACACGCTTTG